GATCGATTGTAGTACTTAGGGATCAAATCCACAGGAAAGGAGGATCTTTTCCTGCAAAAGCCTTTGAAAGAAATATAAAGTAAGGAAGTCTAGAACTGGTCGAATTTAAAAGGGGTTTTTGGGTTGTCACTGAAACGTAAATTCTAACTAAACGGGAAAAAGAAAAATACTTAAGAAAACTGGAAAAACTAAAGAAGACCTAATCTAATCTTGAATGAAAATCGGCTGGAATAAAAAAAAAATAACCTAATGACTAAAACTTGTATGAAATCGGTGAAAACTTATAAAGACGAAACGCTGGATTTTCAGGGAAATTATCTCTGGGGATAAACGATTCAAACCATTGCTAAAAAGTAATTTAAAAGATCTTAGCTAAAACTTTTAAAACTCGAGTCACGAACGTATGACTACGCCACCGTAGTGGTCATAACCAACTATCTCTCGCAACATTTACGAGTAGGTTTCCACTCTGGCCCCAGAACGGAAAAGATGTTATCTTGCTTAAGACTCATCAACATTCACAGCTCACCATAGGTAGGTTTCCACTCCTATATATGGTAGAATTTCTCTTCTCAAACTAGATCTGGCTCCTAATGAAAACTTTCACAAAACTGCGAACCTAAATCAGATTATAGTTCATGACGCTACTCTCATGTATTAAAAATAAGTTTAGAATAAAAAGTTCTAGGATTTGGCTTCAATAACTAATGGAATCCTCATCGAACATGTATGCCCCCATTGAAATTCCCTCAAAACCAACAATAAAACTACTCATACATGATTAAAGAAAGCAAAAACATTGTATTGAAAAGCTGTATTGAAATCGATATGGAAAAAGAAACAAAAAGGGTTTAAGAGATAGTTCTCTATCTCCCTAAACCTAACAAAACTCTAAAAACTTAAAAGGAATTCTTAAACATAAAAAGCATACATAAGATACGACTTAGAGTTCATAAAACATGTATTTATAATGCTCAAGACATTTCTGGACGTTACTTAGGGTCTCTCCAAATGAAGGAATTGATTTGGGCTTGGAAATGGGCTTCAAGGCCGAACAGACCAATCTCTGCGGTTAGGATGAACGGGACCGGTGTAAACTGGGTGCTGGCCGCAGTCAGGATTGCTTGCCGACTGGTTGACGGGACATCTTTCTCTTCGCGTAACTTTTGATTGAACCGTTGGATTGTCTTGATGTCAAGTGTGCTGGAAATATGTTTGTTTCATCTTCAAGATCTCCAAATTTGAGCTGGATTAGACAGTGAGAAGGTCTTCATTTGAGGGTGAAATTCTGATGGTTTGACTCTGAGCTGAAAATCTGGTCTTCTATCCATTTTGTTAAGCTTTTACCTAAGTTTCCTGAAAAGAGTCTTGAAACTACAAATACAAGAAAAACATAATAAAAATAATTGCAATAAAAAACATAAGAAAAGTATTTCAAAACGATCCATAAAAGTGGTCAAAATACGGTGTTTATCAATTACATTTCCTTAGATCCCGACTTCTCCAGATCACTGAGCTTTTCTTGGGACATAAGGGAGGGTAACCTCTCTTCCTCCTGACTACTCAGTTTCTGACCTTTTAATCTCTAACAATGTGGCTTACATTGTCAGGTACGAAAAAACCAAGAAGAGATGGCCTTTCGTGTCGGATCTCTTGGATCCATTGGATCTAAGGCTTGGTGTACGTCATTTAGGCAGTAAGCCCATAACAAAACCTAATTTGGCCGAATGGGGCCGTACCTACAAAAAATGCCAGAGATGCCACATGTATCCACATGGTCCATCCACGTAGATGATGCTCCTAGGGTTAGAGGTCGCAAGTGAAGTTTTAAATCTGTAAACCATGTCTGCAAGTTCACAACAATGCGATATAGTACTTAGGGTATCGATCCGCAGGAATATTTGTCTTTTCTGCACAAATTTCAAACTGAGATTAGTAACGAGTTCAAAGATGCCAAAGGGTTTTAATAGGGTTGGTGTCAAAGGAAAAGTAGAATTGAGAAAGGGAAAAACAATATAGACAATCAATCTGGGCTAGAAATTAAAAAGAATGTTGGGCTGACAAGGATATCTTAGGGGATGTTCGATTCATATTAGGGTTGTAAGCTCTTAAAATCAGTTTCAAGTAATCTACGTGGAACTATAAAACACATAAACATGATCAGCTTGTTGTCATGTAACTAACCAACTAATCACTCAAACTCGACTAGTAGCTTTCATCTCTGGCTGCGAGAGAGATCATGCAATAACATACATGTTTTTTTTTCTCGCGATACTTAGGTAGTTTTGATCTCCTATAGTAAATTTGTTCTCTTGAAGCTATGTCTAGACGAATAATACAACAGTCTCATAGCTTAATCATCCTAGGATCAGTTGTTAGTTTATGACTTTAACTCCATGTAATATGAATAAGTTTAGAAGAGATGAGATCTAGAATATGGCTAAGATAACAACAACCTTAATCAAACATGGAGTCCCTTTTGATGGATCCCTTAAACTCAACAACTAAACTACTCAGACTTAATTAAAGAAAGCAAAAACATTAAAAAAAAAAAGATTGCATAAACTGAATAGATAGATGACAAGAATAGAGAGGGTTCAAAAGAAAGATCTCTATCTCCCAAACCTAAAAACTAAGAAACAAAAATTTTGTGTTAAAATATATGGTGCCACAAAAGAAAAAACTAATGAAATTAGGTTTTCTAAAACACATATTTATAGGTCTTCAAGTTTTCTAGGTCGTCCTTAGGGTTTTCTTTTAAATAATGCAGAATGGTCTCCAGGACCGGCAAAATGATAATCCACTGCGGTTGCAAGCTCAGAGGCACGGCCAGGCCTGTGTTTGCTACGGCTCGGATGCAAGTTAGGATAATTGACATGACATCTTAGTCTTCATGTATTTTTTAATTGAATCGTTGGATTGTCATCAATGAAAGTAAAATGGAAAGTCAGCTGACTCCTATTGAATGTCTCCAAATTTAAGTTGGATCAGATGGTGAGAAGGTCTTCATTTGAGATTAAACTTCTGATGATTTGATATTGAGCTAAAAATATGGTTTTTTTCCATTTTGCAATGTTCCTTAAGTAATCTGACAAGAGATTTTAAACTATAAATATAGGTAATAAAAACACTTTAAACTAAATAAAACACTTGAATTTACATAAGAAAATATTAATGAAAATAGATAAAAATACAGTTATCGTTAATTTAGATTCTGACATGTGTTAATGTTAAAATATAAATTTTTTATTTTTAATTATTTACTTTAAAAAAGAAAAAATGAAAAATGTTTTTCTAAACGAAAATTACTAAATGGAAAACGTAAACTAAGTGAAAAAATAGAAACTAATAATACGGATAAGACCACTTCAAATCTTCGTTTTCGAGAGGGATGATCTGTCTTTGCAGCAAATTCAAAGAGTTGTGTAGCAAAAAATTCTTTCTTTCTGTCACTTAGGGAAAAGATGATGAGGCTCCTTATCCTTTTCTTTTTCTTTCAAGTCGAATGTCAGAATCAGGTAAGGTAGCATGCGGGTTATCAATTTTTAAAATATAATTATGTTTTTATAATAAAATTACAAAATAAAAAAAAAGGAAAAACATGAAGTACAATATAATAAAAATTATTTTTTGAAAACTTTATCATTTATTTAGAAACCACCATCACCAAAAGAATAATCATAATGATGATTGAAGCTGGAAAGAACCACTGCCATTATCCGCTTCTACTGTCAATTACATATTCTAAACAGCTAAACTGAACCAGAGCTTTTGCCTTCCCAAATCAACTGGAAAAATCCCACAAAGAAACAACGAAATTGTTTCGAAGATGGATGAATAAGCCAACCACCTATCTATCTATCTCTCTAGGAAGTTGGATGAACAAGTTGAACACGTCTACTTGGAAGACAACCTCTTGAAGATGCCGCGACATACAATGAGTGGAAGCAACAAATTTTGGAATAACAAACGAAGCAGAAGTACGATATTATTCAAAAATGAGGTTAGATTTGCGATTCAAAGCACAAAATTAAGAAAACCAGCGACTATGCCCCTAGGCCCTAGTATAAAGAAAGAACCAACGACAAGCTCCAAGAAATTGAAATTCGCCTCAGAAAACTAGAGTACAAGACTAGAGAAACTGATGCTACATACAATGAGCTACCTCTCCAAGTAGAGTAATTATATTTTTATAGATTAATTATTAGCTACTGCTTCAAACTGAGAATCGATTTTTTAATCAATGAATTATCTAGCCTATATCAATATAAAACCCCTGCAAATACCTTTATGCCCAACACTTTGTTTCTTGATTCCTTATTGCATTTTTACTTGCTTGCTTACTGTATTTCGTGACACATCAAACTCACCCAAAAAACATATTTTGTCTTAATTTTATTCTTATCAAACGGATTTGTAGTGCAAGTTTCAATCTCGGTTAATCGACTCATAAGTTTTACAACACACGCATTTATAGACATTTAAGATCTAAATTTAAAATATAAATACAATATTTTATAAATTAAAATATATAAATAAAATCATAGTGAAAACTAAAACTATTTTTATTTAAAAAATAAAAATACAGACATGTGATGTCATCACTTTCTTACATTAAACAGTTCTAGTATTTTTTTTTTTTTGTAATGCAATTTCAGCTAATTTGGAGAATTTATGTGTAATTATAATTAGTTTGAAAGTTTAAAATGCGAATATAATACCATCAAAATTTAATGCAAATATAATACCAGCAAAAGGTTAGAAATGCGATTTTTTTTCTTACATTTGCTCCATTCAAAAAGGTATATTGTAGCAATAATAGTAAATCAAATAGTTCAGTAACAAGTCGCACTTGGTCATTTACTAATCACATACATAATTACATAAATAACATCGAATCGTAGCCGCGCATTGTAGTAGACTTGCAGTCGCTAGCAAATGCCTAACGATCAGGCCTGAGCTCTCATAAATCTCATTAGCCTTGAATGAAAGAGAAAAAAAAAAAATTCGCTCATTTTTCTATATTATCATATTTTATTTTAATTTATTATTACCACTGAATCAAAACTTAGATATCATCGAACGTCCTCCAAGCTCCCCAACTGCTCTCAGGATCTCAGTTTCTCTCGTCTTCCATCGATGGCGGCTCTTTCGTCCTCTCTCTCTCTTCCCAAGAATGCTCAACAACTCCATCCTTCTTCTGGTAATCATTTTCACTCGATTCGTTTGTAGTAAATCTTCGTGCGACTTACTCTCTCTCTCTTCATTCTCATATCCTTTTGAGCTGGTGCGATTTGATTATGTTACGATTCTAATTTATTGGTATTGTATCGAACTTGATTGTATTGAAAGATCCTTTAAAAGTTGTATTGGGGATCCAGAGTGCATTTTCTACTGTGATTTCCATTTTTTTCCCCAAAATCCAAAATCAATCCTCAAATTGGCTTGGAGGATATATCTTCTCGGTTGTGAAATGCTGCGTTTCATCTTTTGCTTGCGGTGATTTTCAGTGTCACTGTACGTAAATCGTCTGGAAATTATACAAATTTATAATTTGAAGAGGTTTTGGCTGAGATGAGCATTTTTTTGGAAAAGTTTAAAAATGTAGGAACCTTTGTTTCTCAATCACTTTCTTCAGCCTCTACTTGTCTTGCTCGTTGGCATAGGTCGCATATTTATCATTCTTTGTGTTTCCTTTTCTATGAAAGAGTCGAATCTGGTTGATATCTTCTGGTTCAGTACATATTAGTCTATGATTTTGCCGTAACCGCAAGTACTGTCTCTCTCTCTCTCTCGATTCACTGATCTTTGTTCGTTTTCATTAAATTTTCATGCTAGGCCTATCTCTGAAGCCAAGCGCCCATTGTGTTAATGTTTCTTTTGGACTAAATCGCTCCAACAAACTGCATTTTTCTGCTCTTAAAAGCAAAAGGATCTTAACCATTCAATCAGCATACAGGTAAAGAGTTGGTTCTATTCTTGTTTGTTTTATTTTTGGGCTTTGGTGAAAGATTATCATGAGATATCCCAGTCTCTTGGTATTGTTTGAGATGTCCATAGTTAGTGAATCATAAGGTCCGGTTTGTGTTCCTCCTTAATGTTTTCTGCACAAAGCAATTGATAGATTTGTATAGATTTGTATCGTTAAGAAACTTTACGCTTTGATTACTTGATTAGCAACTCATGTTTACACTTTAAAAAACTTTACGCTTTGATTACTTGATTAGCAACTCATGTTTACACTTTACACAGACCATTTGCAATGTCTAATAGCCTCAAATCTTGCAGAGATGATGACAGTTCAGGTAGCACAGGCCTATTTGTTGGAGGGTTTATTTTGGGTGGACTCATAGTCGGTGCCCTCGGATGTGTATATGCACCACAGGTTGATATTATGTTTCACATGATCTTAGTTGATCGCTCTTAGAGCTTTGTTTCATTAATATAACTCTCCTTGCGCTCCTTGATTATGATTCGTCAATGCTTAACGTTACTTTTGTGAATTATATCAGATCAGCAAGGCGATAGCTGGAGCAGACAAAAAGGATCTCATGAGAAAATTGCCTAAGTTCATATATGATGAGGAAAAGGCTTTGGAGGCAAGTTGTAGTAATCACTGTATCTTCACATGAATGAATCATATTTGATCTCTTTTGCATTTTTATTGTTTTGTTTTGTTGATGTACTTATATACAATACGGTGTACTGTTATTGCAGAAAACCAGAAAGGTACTGGCCGAGAAAATTGCGCAGCTCAACTCTGCTATCGACGATGTATCCTCTCAGCTCAAATCAGAAGATACCCCGAATGGGGCAGCTCTAAGCACCGATGAAGCCGAGGCTACAGCCTGAATAATCATGATCTGTTTTAGGATTTGAAATCGCGGGTGATTACTTATTATGATCCCAATAATTGTTTGCTGTTTCTGTGTAATTTTGTACAACTTTTCCGTCTATCTTTAAACCATTTGCCTTCTGCACTGTTTTTCTTAAAAACCATGTTGAAAGATATCAACTTGCTATGCCAAATCCAAGTTTACCAAGGCAATTTAATTGCTGGTTTCTGAGCTAAATTCCTTAAGAGTCTTAAGAGGGAAATATGACATGGCAAGAAAAATTTACAAGGACCTGTGATATTCTATTAAAGTATTAATCAATGGCTCACACGATCTTATCCTTATAGTATCTTACCTACATAATAACCACATATTTATTTGCTTCACTTTGAACCATAGGTTGCTTTTGATCAAAATCAAATATGTGAGGGTGCATGTATATATGCCAATGCCCGAAATTTTAGTGGCACTCCTAGCATTTTCTTCTAGTTTCACTTGCAGCTATGGCGACACATTCAGCTCTCGCCGTCTCCAGAATCCCGGTGAACCCGAGGCTGCAGTCTAAGAGTGCCATTCACTCTTTCCCTGCTCAATGCTCCTCCAAGGTAATGTAGACTATGTGCATGTGTGTGTGTTTCTGCGTTACAGTTTGTTTACCTGTTTTCTTTTGTTACTATCTACACAGAGGCTAGAAGTGGCAGAATTCTCCGGCCTACGAGTTAGCAATAACGGTGGGGAGGCCTCTTTCTTTGATGCCATAGCTGCACAAATAACCCCTAAGGTGACCATTAAATTAAATTATTGGATCTATAACTATATTGTTATGAATGTGCCATATGATGAGTTTGTGCAATATTAGGCTGTGACAACATCCACTCCTGTAAGAGGAGAGACAGTGGCCAAACTGAAGGTTGCAATTAACGGGTTTGGAAGGATTGGTAGGAACTTCCTCAGATGCTGGCACGGCCGCAAAGACTCTCCTCTTGAAGTTATCGTAGTTAACGACAGTGGTGGTGTCAAGAACGTAAGTCCTTAAAAGGTTAAACTTAGTGATCTCTCTTTTTGAACATTTTTTGACATCGATGAAATTGCGCAGGCATCCCACTTGCTCAAGTATGACTCTATGCTTGGAACCTTCAAGGCTGATGTGAAAATTGTCGACAATGAAACTATCAGTGTTGATGGTAAGCTCATCAAAGTTGTCTCCAACAGAGACCCTCTTAAGCTTCCATGGGCTGAGCTCGGCATAGACATTGTCATCGAGGTGAATATTCTATCTAAAGCTCCACTGATATGATGGCAGAATCGCACAAAGCAACTTAAGTAAAGAAGACAAATATATAAATAGTATATGGTTATGATCAGGGAACAGGAGTGTTTGTTGATGGGCCAGGAGCAGGGAAGCATATTCAAGCTGGAGCCTCAAAAGTGATCATCACCGCACCAGCGAAAGGTGCTGATATCCCGACCTATGTTGTGGGAGTCAATGAGCAAGACTATTCTCATGACGTCGCTAACATCATTAGGTCCGTTCAAACAAAACAGTTCTCATTAAGACAAGAATTAGTATTTGTTCATGATTCATTTTGGTTATGGCTTCTCTCTTTTATTGGCAGCAATGCATCTTGCACCACCAACTGTTTGGCCCCCTTTGCGAAAGTCTTGGATGAAGAATTTGGTACACTGCTTTTCTCTACTCACTACATGTTTGAAATGGTTTATAGCTCTCATACATGAAATAAATTACAGGAATCGTCAAGGGAACAATGACGACGACACACTCTTACACCGGAGACCAAGTAATATAATTTGCACATACTTATCACTACTGAATCTTTGTGTGTATAGTGTAGCTAAGTAGAAGCTTACCAGAAGAAATTGCCTGAATTCTAAGAGATCTGCAGTTTTTTTATTTAGAAGCTATTAATCCGGTGTCTGGCTCGAACTCTTTCTTTTTCAATAAAAGCTACTAAAGCATAATCTAATTAATTAAGGTTCGATTTAGTTTTGGTTTGGATACGGTTTATAATCAAATATATCGTTAGTGTTTTTCTTCAGTTTGGAATACATAAAAATAAATCTATTTTAATCCTTCTTACTGTATTGGGATATGGTTCGATCGATTTAGTTTGTTATTTGGGTTATCTAGATTGAACACTCTTGTACTAGGAAGCATTGAAATTTTACTGTGATGTGACTTAAATACATTAATAACATATATGTTTGCAATGTTTCAGAGGCTTCTCGATGCATCACACAGGGACCTACGGCGTGCCAGAGCTGCAGCGCTGAACATAGTACCGACAAGCACAGGTGCAGCCAAGGCCGTGTCGTTGGTGCTGCCGCAGCTGAAGGGTAAACTCAACGGCATTGCACTCCGTGTGCCGACCCCGAACGTCTCAGTGGTTGACCTTGTTGTGAACGTTGCGAAGAAAGGTTTGACAGCAGAGGACGTTAACGAGGCGTTTAGAAAAGCGGCGGATGGACCGCTAAAGGGCGTTTTAGCCGTTTGCGACATACCGCTTGTCTCTTGTGACTTCAGGTGCTCTGATGTCTCAACCACCATTGACTCTTCCCTCACAATGGTCATGGGTGATGATATGGTCAAGGTGGTCGCTTGGTATGACAACGAATGGGGTTACAGGTCAGATTACACATTGCTATTCATACGCATTCAAATTTTTTTATCATAATATAAAGACTTATAACAGTTTAAAAAATTTCAAACCAGAGGTATCCAATTTACATAATACTATCATACCAGTAAAGACGAGCACTCTCTGTGCTAAGTTGTCCACCTTTGTTTTTTCTGCATTACTCATACGCATTCATAAGTCTATTCAACCTACTAAGTACTAACCTAGATTGTTTGTTTGCATTTCCATTTAATGTTTGCTTTAGGAACAAAACCCATAGTTTTTTGTGTTTTAAGCAAAAAAGTTTTGTTAAATGCCAATGCAAACGTTAAACGTAAACATAAGAGTTTTTTTTTTTTTTTTAAGTTTTGAAGTTTGCGTTTATATATAGAAAAAAGTAAAAACATTTTATGTTTTAGAAATGTGATTTCTTTTTTAAAAGTACATGCATTTAAGCCAAAATATCGCACTTATTATCATAAATAAGTGGGAATTTATTTTACGCGTTTTTCTTACAAATATCATGATCTTTGAATATGTTTTATACAAAAACTAGGTGAATATCCGCACATTAGGTGCGGGTTTTTATTTTCAATTTTTTCAATTTTTTTATAAATTTTTATAAAAATTAATATTATCATCACTTGTTATTTCCTTACTTGTTAATATTTTATTCAAAAAAATTAAAATATTAAATATTATTTAATAATTTAGAGTTATATTAAAATTAATAATATCATCAATATTTTTAATTAGTTATAACATAAAATTTTGTTTAACATTTACACAAATATTAACTAATAGTCAATTAATAAAAAAAATTAAATTAATAGAATCATCATTTCATTTGTTACTTGTTAGTATTTTATTATAAATAATCTTTAAAAAATAATTTAAAATAGATATTGAATATTATTAAGTAATTTACAGTTATATAAAAATTAAATACATATCTATCAATATTTTTAATTAGTTATAACATAAATTTTTGTATAACATTAATATAAATATTAGTTAAGAGTCAATTAATAAAACAAACTTTTCATATTCTTTAAATGCTTTAAAATTTAATATTAAATTTTTATTAATTAAAATTTAAGTGACATGTGTCAGTTTCTCCAATGCTGATGTGTCAAGCATATAGAGAAAGTTGAACAACTTTTATATATAAGATATTGTTATTTTTGGATGACATTGCTATTTGATTAAAAATGTGCATATCTTTACAAATTCAACACCACATCATTTTGCAAATAATTTCCTAAAAAATGTTATTTACCCAGTAGTTATATAACCGTTTATATAAAATTTCTCTTTCTACATGTAATCACAGTGAAAAAAATATTAATACTAAAAACTCTCTTTCTATATAAAAATGACAGTCAAAGGGTAGTGGATTTGGCACATCTAGTGGCCAACAAGTGGCCGGGAGAGGTAGCTGCTGGAAGCGGAGACCCATTGGAAGATTTCTGCAAGACAAATCCAGCCGATGAGGAATGCAAAGTCTATGAATAAGCTTGATTCCATTTTTTTCACCAAACTCTTTTCTGAATAATTTGTTTTATTATTCAATGAGGATTTGACAAAATCATATAATCCGTACCTCTTAAACTCTCTCCTGTACTTATATCAAAAGGTAATGTATGTACCCATTCCTTTTCGTTTCTTGTCTCATATGCGATCTGGAGGATAATATGATTTCACTGTTAGAGACGGCGCTAATTACTTTCAAATTAGAGATTAATTATAAAAGCAAAACGTGTGGTGTTGCTGATGATTTTTTAGCGTTAACTAGGAGTGATGATAAATCAAGTTTACCAAATGAGAGATAACCTGAAATAGTCCTCAAAGGAATTATTTATTCTTTTGTATCTTCTTTTATTCTCTTGTCTTTTTTGTGGGTCTCTCACTTTTTAATGATTTTGGAAATCTCTAATTTGTCTTTGTAATTTTCTAAAGAAAAAAACTAGAAATATAAATTCGGCCAATAATAATTAAGCCTTGATCAACCAATCAAGAGTGGAAAAAAAAATTCGTCCAATGAATTATAAGCATAATTAGCTAATCAGAAACGATCGTCTCAAAATTTAACTAATCAGGAACGTGTTGACAAATATTATGCGCCAAAAATTTATCCAATCAGGAACATACTTTGTCAGACCATCTTGAAACCATATTTGACCAGCTTCATCTCAGCGATCGCGGCACAGAGAATGAGAGAACTTAAATCCTTCTTGACATTTTGCTCCAATCATCCGACATTGAAGCTTAATCGAGGTAATTGACATTCTCTCGTTGGATTTGCTTCCCTTTCTGATTTTGGAAAGTCGTTGCCCTAGCAGCACTATTGAGGATTAAATTCAATTATTGAAATTGAATAGGGAATTGTAGACAATGAAAATGGTTATTGGTTGGTAATCGAATAAATATTTAGTGGACCGGAGGTTTAGATGTTAAACCACAGTAAATCGGAGTTAGATTAGAATTTTTTTCCTGAGTTGACTAATTATATACGAGAGAGAGAGAGTAACAATTGGTATAACTTGCGTACAACTGGAAACATTTTTTTATGCATTTGAGTATAGCTATCTGTTATTATTTCACATGATAATGATTACGAACATATTTTTTATTATGGGGGATATTATTCAACTTTGGAAGATAATTGGATTTTATCACCAGCTTCCATGTATGGTATAATGTTTACGTCATCAAGTTTGGAGGAGATTACTTATTCTTGTTTAATAGATAAGATATGCATGAAGGTTGGGATTGTTGAATCTTCGAGTAAGTGAAACTGAGTTACATTCCAGTACTAGTGCAAACTCAGAGACAATTTTACATTTTGAATGATGATGACCTAGTTGTGTTCCTGACCTCATTGGATAAAGAGGAACGCATAAGTATTATTAATGTAGAAGTCATCAAAGGTGTTGAAGTTGGAGAGGAATTTTCTAGAGTTGAGAGGGTAAGTTCAGTTGGTATCAATTACGGGGGTTGCATTTAGGTAATGGTGGATTAAATAATGGTGTATTTGCTATTTACACAGGCATCTGTTCAGCAGAACAACATCAGCAGAATGTCCTGGTGATAGAGGAAGCTGATGGTGATGAGGGAAAATATGGTGATGATGTAACACGTGACAATGGAGAAAATGGTGATGATGTAACACGTGATAATGGAGAATATGGTGATGATGTATCACGTGAAAATGCTGATGGAGTAGATGATGCTAAAACCAAGTTTGATAACGAGGAGGATGAATCCAGACGGTTTGATTTTGATGATGGTCCCGTGCTGAAGTAGAAACACAACATTTTGAATGGGAAGATGGTATGAATCTGAGAGTAGAGCAACAATTTGCATGTAAACAAGATTCGATAGAATTTAGTTTATAGAGCTTCCATCAAAATTGTTTGTAATTAGTATTTACGAATTTGGAAAGATGCGAATACACCCTGTTTTTCTGTTACAGTATACCAGAAGATGCATACTTTTTCTCGGACCAGTGCGAGTACAAACAGCAAACAAAAGAAATGAACACCAGGATTAGTTGCATCTGTTGTTAAGCAAGAGTATCCAGGTTGATTAGATACACAAACTCCTCTCAGTGTCATGCTTTTGGTTTAAAATACTGCTTCTGTGAGTGTGTCATACTCTATCGCATGGAGAGGAATACAACTAGCTAAATCTCTGGTTCATGGTTTTCCTGAAGACAGCTATAGAGATCTGTACTCGTATTTGTACATGCTATAGCAGGTGAATCCAGGTACAAAACACAAGGTGTTACTGGACGGACAACAAAGATTCAAGTACTTATTTGTCGCTTTTGGAGCTTGCATTGACGGATTTGTAGCAATGAGAAAGGTGGTAACTGTTGATGCAACTTTTTTTAAAGCCGGAATGGGTTGTCAGCTAGTCTTTGCTGCTTGTCAGGATGGTAATCGTCACCATTATCTGATTGTTTTTGGAGTAATTGATGCAGAAAAAATGACAGTTAAGAGTGGTTTTTCAGGGAGTTGAAAACTGTTATACCCGATAGTCCTGAATTGGTTATTGTTTCTGACAGAAATTCAAGCCTCATCATGGCAGTAGCTGAGGTGTACACGAAAGCTAAACATGGGTATTGCATCTAGCATCTAGGGAAGAATGTGAAAATGCAAGTTTCAAGGGATAGAGATATAGTTGCAGACACATTCATGGAGTACGCAAGACAGTATACAGAGGCCGAGTTTCTTGATCATTATACATGGATGGCTTTAAAGTATCCTTCTGTGACCGAGTATATAGAAAAGCATGTAGAAGTATGGAAATGGGCCAGGTGCTATTTTCCAGCAGAGAGGTACAACCTAAAGACTAGTAACGTTGTGGAGTCCTTGAATAGTGTGTTTAAGGATGCAAGGAATTACTTGTTCTAAAACTCTTTCTCAATTTGTCCTTGACCCAAAACATTCCTAAGTCACCTGAGACCTGAAAACACTTCACAAAACCCATCAAAACATCCTAAAACATGAAAAAAGAGAGAAAATATTAAAAAGAGTTATGTACAAGGATAAGCTTGGAGTGTCTCCCAAGAGCACTTTGTTTTAAGTCACTAAGTTTAACTTTTCATTACCTTAGTTGGATGGGGGATCATCAAGAGATACTGTGGTAGCTCCCTCTTTGATTGCATTCACCAAGTATAGCTTAAACTTTTGCCCATTCACCACAAAACCATTACCATCTTTTTCTTCAAGCACAACTGCCCCATAGCTTCTAACCTCCAATATCTTGAAAGGACCAGACCATCTTGACTTTAACTTTCCAGAGAATAGCTTGAGCCTTGAGTTAAACAGCAACAACAAGGTTTCCTTGCTTGAAATCCCTTTGCATAATCTTCTGATCATGCAATGTTTTGGTCTTCTCTTTGTAGATCTTTGAGCTCTCATAAGCATTAAGCCGTATCTCCTTTAGCTCATGAAGTTGAAGAAGCCTTTTCTCTTGAGCTGTGTTTATATCAAAATTCAGCAACTTAACAGCCCATAATGCTTTGTACTCCAGCTCAACAGGCAGATGGCAACTCTTCCCATATAGAAGATTGAAAGGTGAAATTCCAATGGGAGTCTTGAAAGCAGTTCTATAGGCCATAGTGCATCATCTATTTTCTTGGACCAGTCTTTTCTAGATACACTCAGATTCCTTTCAAGAATTCCCTTTATCTTCTTGTTGGAGATCTCTACTTGCCCACTTGTTTGGGGATGATATGGACTTTCTATCTTATGCTTGACCCCATACTTCTTAAGCAAAGCTTCCAAAGTTTTGTTCACAAAATGGCTCCCACCATCACTTATTACCACTCTTGGAACTCCAAATCTTGGAAAGATGATGGTTGTAAACAGCTTAACAACCACCTTAGAGTCATTAGTGGGACTTTCTATAGCTTCTACCAATTTTAACACATAGTCCACAACCACAATAATGTATTGATTTCTATGAGATGAGACAAAGGGTCCTATGAAATTAATTCCCCAACAGTCAAACACTTCTATTTCAAGGATTGGGTTCTGTGGCATCTCATTCTTCTTAGAGATGTTTCCTGCCCTTTGACAAGCATCACACCTCATAACAACAGCTTGAGCATCTTTAAACATGGTTGGCCACCAGAAACCTGACTGAAGAACCTTAGCCACTGTCTTGAAATCAGCATGATGACCTCCATAAGCTGACCCATGACACTCTAGCAAAACCCCTTGGACTTCTTCCTTAGCTAAACATCTTCTGTAAAGGTTGTCTTTCTTAAGCACATACAGATATGGCTCATCCCAAAAGAACCTTTTTATGTCCTTGAAGAACTTCATCTCTCTGAAAATTTCTCATTTCTGGGGGTTCCACACCATAAGAGAGATAGTTCACAGTATCAGCAAACCATGGCAAACATCCTTCTTTGATAGACTTGATCTCTTCCAGCTCATTCAAAGCTCTAATCGCCATTATCTTCTCTTCTGGTAAAGAATCATCCAAAGGGACCTCAGAGTCTACTCTCAACCTTGACAAGTGATCTGCTACCCCATTCTCTATACCCCTTTTGTCTTTGACCTTCATGTCAAATTCTTGAAGCAGCAGCACCCATCTTAGCAGCCTTGGTTTAGCATCTTTCTTGGTCATCAAGTACCTAAGAGCAGCATGGTCAGTGTAGACCACCACCTTAGAGCCAACCAAGTAGGACCTGAATTTGTCAAAGGCAAAGACAATGGCCAGCATCTCTTTTTCTATAGTGGCGTATTTCTCCTGAGCTGTGTCCAATGTTCTACTAGCATAGTAGATAACATGGACCTTTTTTTCCTTCTTCTGACCCAATACAGCACCAATAGCATGATCAGAAGCATATGTCATTATCTCAAAGGACAAACTCCAATCTGGTGCTTGAACAATGGGAGCACTTATCAGAGCTTGCTTGATCTTCTCAAAGGCTTCTTGGCACTCTTGATCAAAGAGGAACTCCACATCTTTGCATAAAAGCCTTGTCAAGGGTCTTGCTATCCTTGAAAAGTCCTTAATGAACCTTCTGTAGAACCCAGCATGACCCAAAAAGCTTATGACTCCTTTGACTGAATTTGGAGCCCCCAAGTTAACCATGACATCCACCTTGGCCTTATCAACCTCTATCCCAGCTTCAGATACCTTGTGCCCCTACACAATGCTTTCTTGTACCATAATATGACACTTCTCCCAATTCATCACCAAATTTGTCTCCTAACATCTCCTTAGCACTTGAAACAGATTAGACAAACAAGAAGAGAAAGAGGGTACATAGACTGAAGTCATCCATGAACACCTTTACTTTCTCCTATATAAGGTCAGAGAGAATCAACATCATACACCTTTGAAAGGTGGCAAGCGCATTACACAGACCAAAAGGCATTCTTGTGTAAGCATAGGTGCCATAAGGGCAGGTAAATGTTGTTATCTCTTGGTCTCTAGGGTATATGAGAATTTGGAAAAACCCTGAGTATCCATATAGAAACTAGTAATAAGGATGATTGGCAAGCCTCTCTAGCATTTGATCAATGAAAAGAAGTGGAAAATGATATTTTCTTGATGCTGCATTCAACTTCCTATAATCAATGCACATTCTATGGCCTGTCACTGTTCTGGTGGGTATGACTTCATTCTTCTCATTCCTGACCACTGTTATGCCACCCTTTTTAGAAACAATGTGTACTGGAGAAACCCATCTTGAGTCAGAAATAGGATAGATTATTCTTGCCTCAAAGAGTTTGAGGATCTCTCTCATTACAATATCTTTGAGATTTGGGTTTAATATCCTTTGATGTTCTATAGAGGTTATTGATTCCTCTTCCAGATGTATCCTATGGTGCATAAGTCAGGTGAGATTCCTCTAATGTTATCTAAAGAATAGCTTATAGCTCTCCTATACTTTCTTAGTTCATTCAACAAAGCATTCTCTTCATGAACTAATAGGCTATCATTAATGATCACAGGATAAGATAAATTAGAGCCAAGAAATGCATACCTGAGCCTTTTTGGGAGTGGCTTAAGCTCAACAGATGGAGCCTTGTTTTCATTCCAATCCACCATGAAGCTCTTTTGATCAGTTTGAGCTCCATTTACACTGGTGTTGTCAATTGGCTCAGCCTTTTCCTCAGCTCTTAAACCCACAGCCATACACTCTTGAACCGGCACTTGACTTGTACTGATCCCACTGATACAAAGCCCCATCTGGCTGCTTTTCTCCAGCTCTAAAAACTGAGTTTCTGAACCTGCTTCCTTGTGCTGATCCAACACCATCTTGTAGGCTTCACTCTTCTCAGCCAAGAACCCATGTTCACCTGGTTCTTTTGTTAAGGTGACCTGAAAAGGGTCCTCTAATGTCAGTTCTTCCAACAGCTCATCAGCCAATTCATCCATTGTTTCAACATAGAATATATGTCCTTCTATAGTTGGTTTCTTCATCATCTCCTTCATGTCAAATGTAAGAGATTCTGATCCAAGGTGCAACTCAATCTTGCCTCCTCTCACATCAATTATGGCACCTGCTGTAGCAAGGAATGGTCTTCCCAAAATGAGAGGATCAACAGGCTCTTCATCCATTTCAAGCACAATGAAGTCTGTTGGGACTTCAAAATCACTTATCTTCATAGGAAGATGTTCTAGAAGTCTAATAGGAAGCCTAACTGATCTATCATCAAGTACCAAAGATTTCCTTGCAGGCTTGTAGACTGTGAATCCCAACTTCTTTGCAATAAAGAAGGACATTAAGCTCACTGAAGCTCTTAACATAAGCAGCTTGCAAACTTCAAAGGACCAATAGTACATGGCAATGTAAAACTCTCTGGATCATATAGCTTTCTAGGGATTGTCCTTCTCTGGAATTATTGCACTACACTCATGGCTTAAGACCACCATTTCTTGTAGTTCCCTTGACTTGTTCAAAATAGCATCCTTTGAACTTTCCAAGCTGAGGGACCATAAGAAAGGCTTCTATGATGGGCATGGTGAACTGAGTCTTCTCCAACTACTTTTCAAATACAGCTTTAACCTTATCTAAAAGCTGCTTTTTGAACCTTCCTAGTTTGGGCTGATAAAGTGGTGGTGGCACATATGGTTTCTCTGGCACCATCTCCTTTACCACACCTTTGCCCTTGTCTTTCTTTACAGCTTCATCATCTAGTTCACTCCCTAGAGGCACCTCCCCACCAAGTTTCTCATTGTCCTCAATGAGCACAAGTCTTTGTTGTTCTCTTTCAGGTAACTCCTTGCCACTTTTGAGTGTAATGGCATGGGCATATTCTTTGGGGTTTGGCTCAGGTTTCCCAGGAATTGTTCCTTGTTGTCTAGAAGAAGAAGCTTGATTCTTCTTAAGCTCTTTGATTTCTTGTTGCATAGCCTCATACTTTGAACCCAGATCAGTAAAACTGTGCTCAACCCTTTGTTGACCCTGAAGTAGCTGCTGTAGAACCCCACACAGGTCTGAACCCATATGTTGTTGAACCGGCTGCTGCTGTCCCATTTTCTGTTGTCCAAAACCTGGTGGAAACTTGCTTACAGGCAGCTGACTAGTGAAGTTACTCCCCTGGTTCTGCTGAGGTTGCTGAACAAATTGCTGGGGCTGCTGAACATATTGTTGCTTTCTCTTAAAGTTTCCCTGAAACTGGTCCTTTGGAACAAATCTCTGATTCTGAACTTGCTGAGGAGGATACATTTGGTCTCCAGGGTTGGCTACATTTGGGTTTCTATAGCTCAGGTTCTGGTTGTAGTTATAGAACATGTTGAACTTGTTCTGGTTCCCAATGTAGTGGAGTTTCTCCTGAGTTAAGCCATCTTCATTGACATTTTCAAAACATGTGGCTTGGTCATCAAACTTGGCAACATAGTGTAGTGGCTCTGAGTAGCCACTAAGACCTTATCAAGCTTGCTCTAAAGTTCCTTGATATACTTTCTCATTCTTTGCTCCTCACTAGAGCCTTCTCCTCTATTGACTCTGTCATAATCCTCTCCATAGCTGTCATTACTCATAGCCAAGTTCTCCACCAACTTCATTGCTGCATTGATTTCTTTGACAAGGAAGTTGCCATTAGAAGCTGTATCTAACTGATTCCTGAACTTTAGGAGAGCTCCTCTGTATAAAGTGCTGAGTAAAGAAGTTTCAGAAAACCCATGGTGAGGGCACTGGTTTGTATAGCTTGTAAATCATTCCCATGCTTCCCCAAAGCTCTCATTGTTGTGTTGGGTCAAGCTTGAGATTTGATTCTCAACTTGACTTTTCTTGATGTGGAGAAGAATTTAGAGAGGAATGCCAGCTTACATTGTTCCCATGTTTGGATTGAACCCCTTGGCAAGTTCTTCTCCCACTGATGGGCTTTGTCTCCCTAGCTGAAAAGAAACAGTCTTAACTTGAAGCTATCCTCTGAGATCTCATTAATCTTTGTCAGATCACAGACTCTATCAAATTGATCCAGGTGCTCAAGTGGATCATCCATAGGCAGTCCATGGAATTTTGAATTCTGCACCATGTTGAGAAGTGATGCCTTTACTTCAAAATTGTTGTTTTGGACTGGTGGAGCTTGGATTCCTACTCTGTATTGATGTGCATTAGCCCTGTCATTCTCTCCAACAAAGACATGTGGTGGCTCTTGACGCTTGGGAGGTTATGGGTAGGGCTATTGATAAACCTGATGCCCTTACTGGTTTACTTGAGCTTGATGCTCATTTCTGGCTGCCTGATTCTGATTCATCTGAGCCTGGTGCTTATTTCTCTCAGCCATGTTCTGGTTAACAAAGGCTTGTTGCTCATTTTTGGCCGTCTGAGCTTGGTTCACTTGAGCCTGGTGCTCTGCTTGATCCCTTTGTTGTTCCATACCCAGCTGCTGAAGATGATCTGCTCTCTTTCTTGCTCTTCTACCTCTTCTATCAAACAAATGGATATTGCCAATGAAGGGTTCAGCTGCTTTACAACTTCTGCTTCTGGTCCTTGGTCTATGTGACATAAACCTGAAAGTTCAAAGAAACTGAAGAGTCTTATCAGTAAAACAAAAGAAAACACTTGATCTCAAGATGAATTCAGCAACTAATGCTAAACAATCACACAATGGCAACGACGTCAATTGATAGACAAGAGTTTTTAGTTCTTGTGGGTTATCAATTCCTTTAAGTAGTTGCAGCATAAAAGGTAATCAATCCATAATTGTGAAGATATACACTAGTTCATGAGAATTTAAACTTAATTCAAGCAGAACAAAGAGTTTTGGTTGTCACAAATAACAAATGCAAGCTAAACAAGCTAAACATGACTAACAATGATTAAAGACTTAAATAAGCAATAAGCAATATAGCAAATGATCAAGATGATATGAAAATGATGAAACTTAGTGCTCTAGACATGATAGTTGGCTAGGGTGCATCAAGGTTTAATTAAAGAGCTAATGACAATGATGATGAATGATCTAAGAAGCTTAGGATTCAAATCAAGTTTCAATCTTTCTCAAGCATCAAAACTCAATCTCAAACATTGCTCATACACAATCATCATTAGAGACACAATGAAAGAAGTGAAGTAAAAATGAATCCTAATATACCATCTATGCTCAAAATAATATTCCCATGTGAATCAAACAATAGACTCTTGATTTAGCTGGTTCAGGCATTTCATCAAACACCTTTTAGGTGGATGAAATGCCTAAGATCTGGGTTAAAGAGATTATCTAAAACCGAGCATTAAGATCAGCTAAACAAGATAAAGATGCATAAATCTAGTCCTAAGCAGCTTTAATCAAACCCCTAAGCACCCTAACATACAAATCTAGTACCCTAATGAGGTGAATACTGACTAATCATGATTAACTCTCTGATTCCTTTGCAAGAAGAGTAGTTACGCATGATTAGTTGATGAGAATAGATAGAAGATAGATAGATGATGATGAAAAGATGATTTAAACTTTAAAACTCTCTTGTATCAAACAGAAAATGGGAGATCTCTCTCTCAAAGTATGTTCTTACACAAAAGAGGCAAAAAGTTTAAGGGAATAAGAGGTGAGTCTTGAGAAAAAACCCTAAAAATTATATATACTTTTTAGTTTGGACTGGTTTAGCCTAGGACAAACTGGGTACTGACCCAGCTCAGATGGGTCGAGTGTCTAGTGTGCGAGATGGTCTTGGTCCATCCTCACCCGCACAGCCATGTCGCACAGGTCCTGGAGCTTGTTCTTGCGAGTCAACTCTTCATGCAGCCGCATTCCCATCTCGGTCTAAATTGCGAATGTTTGTGCGGCTCAAACCTTTCTTCTTTCCCACTCGCACTCTCATCTTGCAGCCTGGAGAAATCATGTGTGCGAGATTTTTCTTCTCAGCTCCCAGTCGCACACCCATGGCGGTTTGAACTGCGAGTGTTTGTGCGAGAGGGTTCACTCCATTTCCCACTCGCACTCCCAAGTTGCACAGCTTTGTGGACTTAGCATAATTCGAGGTTGGAAGTTTGTACCCTGCTCCGAGTTGCCTTACCCGCACATTTCAAGTTGCAGCTTGCTCCCAGAGTTCAATCTTTCATTTCTGCGAGTTAACAAAGTCGCACGTATACACCCATGTCGCAGCATTTCTCATTTTCTTGGACTACTTCGCGTTTGAGGCATTTTTCATGGGATACTGGTCCAAATGTCCTGATTCAAACTCTAGTGGGACGGCAGCTCGATTTCCTAGAACATTGCTGAAGAGAACAAGTGCATCGGGGGAGAGGAAGGGCTTCTGGTAAACAGGTTTCCGCATCGGCTCGGGAAGTTCCAGTTTCTTGCTGCGGGACATGTCCATCTCCTGATTGCAATACCTCATGACTCAGCACTCCAAATAGGCCCAAGCGTTCTGGAAAGAAGACTCGAAGATCTTGAATCTTGATGAATTCTCTGGAAATTGGATAGCAAGGGAAGGGCATCGTCCTGAGTAATCATTGAAGCACATCGGATCGGTCCGGAATGGATGCGAGACAGGTTTGTCTCCTGTTGGCCATAACTTTCAGCTCATTGCTCCGAATCCATTCATTCAAACTGTTCTGGAACCATGACTAAATCCTCTCGAACTTTTCTGAAGACCGTGGAAGATAAATCGGACGGGAAGGCTTCATGGCAAAGCAATCTTTCAGGCATATCGGCACAAAAGATTTTTGGCCGAGGTTTTATGTACTTACACGTTTTGGCCGAGTCTCATGTACCGCAGTACATGTTTTTAGCCGATAAAACTGTTTGCTGATGCTGAATGTTCTGGAACACGGTTTTGGCCGATAGAAACTTTCCGGGAAGGATTTTTAGCCGGTAAAATCCTTCTTGCGGTGCATGGAAATGCCGATGGACTCCAAAATTACACTTTCACCATTTTTGCTCATTCTTTCACCATTTCTCCACCTGGTTCACCTCTTCCACTCCAAGTAACCTCCAAAAGCACCTAATAGACACTCCAAACATGCAAGACTCACTTGGACCTAAAACTCTATAACAAAGATAAAACCCATTGAATCTATCTAAAATGCATGAATGAGACTCTATTCTTGGACTAATAATGCACCCTAAACATGATAAGATGTGAATATATCATTAATGAGACCATATATTTACATAGAAGTTTTGTTAAAGTTATTATCTTATTATACTATCGAATTGTGTCATATTTTGAACTGACACAACTCGGAACTATAAAAAATTATTAATTTATATTGTTTATTAATTTATCAAATATTAGTTTATAGAGTTTGTACTGTAGTTTGTTCTATTGATTTCTTAGCAATTTCTGACCAAAATTTCTACGAATTTATGTTTGGTAGGGAAATGGTAGGAAATTTCCTACACCTTTTTGACGTTTTTTCCGTAAGTAATTTTTTACCACTTTTACTTCGTGTATAAATTTGGGTCATAAATTTTACTACTAAATTCTTATATTTTACCTACAGATGATATTTAATAGGAAAGTGGTAAAAAATTTCCGATGACTGTCTTACCACTCTAATAGTTAGTTTAGTTCTACTGATTTTCTATCAATTTTTGACCAAAATTTTTACGAATTTATGTTTGGTAAAAAATGGTAAAAAATTTCTTACAGGTGTTAGGTTTTTTTTAGAGTAATTTTTTACCAATTTCCTATCCTTTTATATTTTGTCAGAATTTCGTTGAAAAATGATGAAAAAGATTCTCTTACCAATAATTTTGTAAGAATTTTCGTAAAAATGTGGCATGTTTTCTTGTAATAAATGGTTTCAAAATTGATGTATATTACCTACATATAGATTAAATTGTTTTTCCAGTTCTAATAAAGTGTTTAAACCTTTATACTCGAATTATCCGAAATTCGAAATAATCAAACTTAATATCCGAATGCACAAATCGTAGCCGAATCACAAATTAACAATGAAATATAATTTTTAGTTATATTTTTCTTGTTTTTTTTACGTCAAATACTTACGAGAAGAACTGTAAGGCCTGGTGGCTAAGATTATCTCTAATGGTTGTCTTTATTTTTTCCTCTATAATAGAAAAATTCTAAAATAGAAGTGCATTTGTCTTCAATGATTACTTCTATTTTTCCCTCTAAAAAGGAATATTCTCACTATATTCTATTTATTATTTGTTCTTAACACTTTTATTAATAAAATTTATGAATTGACCCCATTTATTTTTTTTAATAAAAACTTACATAAATTATAATATTACTAATTTTGATAAATAAAATTTGTGAATTAATCTTTTATTTTACTGTTTATAAAAGTTTTCATAAATATAGTGATAGTAACATTTGACAACTAAAATTTTTAAATTAATCCCACTTATGCTATTTTTTATGAAATTTCAACATATTATAATAATACTAAAAGTTAAAATTCATAAATTAAACAATACCATATATTTTTTTTAACTATAACCAAAATTATCACATTTATATTCATAAAAAATTATATTTTTTGCATAAATAAAAAGATTTAAAAGTTAAAATATTACTTTACAATAAAAAGTTTACCTCTATTATAAAGAGAAAAAATAGAGTCTCTCTATATTTAGAGGAAAAAATATCAATCTCTATTTTCACCTTTAAAATAGAAATGGGTTGGAGAATCGGCCCAACTAAGAAACATCAAGCTCGAAACAAAAAGCTTCGATCCGGGATCTTAGAAAGCTCTCTTCTTCGTCAATTTCTCGCCGGCTCGATCGAGTGATTTGCAGCAGAAAAAAAGATGTCTTTCATGAGAGGAGACGCTTTAGTCTCGAAGCTTGCTGCGTTCGCTAAATACGTGGTTCTTCCGGGATCCATGGTCGCTGCTCTCGTCTACTCGCCGCCGAACCTTTCATCTTCTTCCAAACAGTCGAAATCTTCCATTTAGGTCAGATTCTTCCTCTCATCTCTTATTTGGGTTGCTTCCGGTTTCGCTTCAATTCGTTATGGTTAGGGTTCGGACTCTGCAATTTCTTCTGTTGTTCTTTGCGATCTCTTTTGTTTGGATTTCAAATTCAGTGATTTCTCATGCGATTTGTGAGAATTGAGAGTTCTCGCACAAGGTAGAAGAAAAACTAGAAAAGCATAAAAAACGGAATGGCTTATGTTCGATGTTTATGTTACTGGATCCAAATTCGTACTATTATGAGTTACAGTGTTTTCATCATCTTTGGTAATCTTGCAGATAAAATCCACGTTCATACTACTATGATTTGTTTTTTTAGGTTTATAAAATTTGGTAAACTTGCTGATTTTGAAATTAGATGGGATAAATTTTCCCTGCTGATTGCTGCGAAACAAACAGGGCATAAGTCTGCTACTTACAATGTCGTTTGTTTATGAATAGGATGTAACACATATATTGCCTCTAATTTAGACAACTAAGTCATTAAAATCGATATGACAATCCTTAAATCTTCTTCTTGATGCAGGTTACAAAGCTTACAACTATGTGGCCTAAAGACTTCCTCTTCTCTTTCAAAAAAGTTATTTTGTAGTCGACTCTGATATTCGAATAATGGTTCAAGGGAACCTTCTCCGTTGAATAATATGCACAAGTTAATTTGTGAATCTTATTATGCCTTTCTCATCTGTTATTTATTTTTGCCTTTTACTGTTCGTAGAATCTTTTCAATAGATAGTTTTCACGTCTCTCTTCCTATATTTCATAAGCGCCATGAAAGAATGAGTCAGGTGTGCAAGTGAGGATGTTGAAGATCAAGTGGCTTCAGGACTCATTTGGCATTGGTGCTCATTTGCTCCATTGCAAACCAAGTCAACATTCAATCCACGCGAGAGTTGTTTGTCTTCGTCTGGTAGAGATCTTAAATGCAGTAATACTATTAGGTAGATAGCAACATTTAAAGAGAAATCATCCCCAAAACCATGAGAAGCCCACATTGACCGTTAAATTAACCAGATAGACAGACAGCCAAAATACAAAAAAGAGAGAAGACTACTGGACACATTCATCTACGACTCAAAATGCGCAAGCAATTAAAAAGATTAGAGTAGAAGGCGTGGGGCGTCACGCCACAAGTGTAAAGACTTGGTGTTTCATCCGCGGCCTTGAACCCTTACATCTCCGACTCTTCCCGGTATTATTATTAGATATTTTACTACTCTCTCGCCCGCTTCGAACCAGCTTTTCTGGTTCTCCGGCTTCCACTGACTGGAAGCAACTCTTTGTTTGGGGCTGGTGAGGGAATTGGCAAATGATGTCTCCCAGATACCAAAGCAGGGAACCCAACAGCAGGGATTCCAACAAGAGCACAGCAGACTCCTGCTTTGTCATCATGGAAGCATTGCCACTACCCTTTTGCAAACAGAGACGAAGAGAATGGTTTTCCGCAACGAAACACTCGAGCATCCGTCCCAGTCTCATGCATTCTCTTTCGAGATACTTACTCTTCTTCTCTAGATCAGTCACATATTCCTTCTTCCTCTCCCTCGATCTTACCGCAGCATCTCTGTTTCTTACTCTCCTGAACAAATCAATCACAATCACCCATTATCAACTCTTCAAACCACTTCAACAAGATACCAGTAACAAATTACAAGAGTAAAAGTTGGTTTGAAGTATGTTTAAACAACATAACCAATGAGATATAGCATAACACACTTTCAACAATCTAAAAGGCAACCAAAATACAAATCCATATTGTTCTCAATATAAAATTTCAAAATCACACACCTGCTAAACTACTTCAAGATAATGCTCTCAAGGTTGTTTTTAAAGCATAACGCCTTTTACAAATTACAGACCATGTTCTTTTCCCAAATATGCACAAACCCTAAATTTCAATTACTTTAAAAAGAGACAAAATTAGATATACCTTCTTCTTTTCTTGGCCATAGCATCATCGTTTCCATCAATCTCGCTTTCCACCTTAGCTTCATCCTGATTCTCACTTCCAGAATCATTGGATGCGTCCGATTTCTTCTCAATTGAGAAATCTGCTTTCTCCTTCACGGAATCATCGGATCCTGCTGATTCCTTTCCAGCGGCGGGAGATTCGACGGTTGGTACATCATCTGAAACTTTAGCGGTCGAAAACTCAACCGGACTAGACTCGCTTGTGGGATAATCAACGAATATATCCGCTAAAAACTCTGAAACCGACTGCTGATCTAACTCCAGAAAATTCTCCTGCTCATCATTCATCAATTGGCTCTCAATCTCTCCGATCCACGAATTCGCAGAATCCGGTGAAGAGCGAATAAAATCATCCGCAATAGGAGGTTCAGTTACGATTGAAGGATCGAAATCGAAGAAGAGATCGTCGTCTAAAAGTATATCAAAGCAACCAAATTCCTCCGCCATGGCAAATCCCAGAACCCAAATAAAGAAATTTATATAAAAAGAAAAAATAAATATGGAGAAGTTTTCTACTGATCGGACTTTATCTAATCTAAACGACTTCCATGAAAACGAGAGGAACAAATAGAAAATTCTGCTATGCTACTCGTTTTGGGTCTTTAGTTTATTATTACTTTGGACGACAGAAAAAAAAAAGTCTATTACTTTGTGGCCAAGTAAAAGTTTGCCCGAAAGGAATCAGCAGGACACGTGTACTTCGCAGACGCGTTTTCCCGACATTTAGCCAATACTGTGAAGGATTACACTGTCTTACAGTGTTCCTGCCATCACATGATTACACTCCTTATATGCCGTCACACAACCAATGAGAAGGCAAGATTTGAAATTAGATCCGAATACGTGTACAATTGTTTTGTCTTAGGTAGAATCGTTGAAAAATGACACAAAACATTGGTTAATTGTAAAAATAACTCATTCCTTCTTTTTATTGTTTTGTAGAAAAAAAAAAATTTCGAAAAAAAGAATTTTTGTTCAAACTTAGAAGTTTAACAATATTAAAACGGTTCACAAATCTAAAATAGAATACACCATTTACATACATTATATCAAGAGACAATTTGCTAGAAAATCTAAAATCTGGTCAAAATTAGGTAAATGAGAAAAACAGTAAATTGATATGACATTGGTCTGACACTTTGAAGGTGTTATGACTCTTTACCCCTTCCGTTGTTACGAATCTTTCTTTTCCGTATGGAGTTTCTCTCTCATCGTCTTTCTTTCGTTAACATATAAGTTATACAATTACATAAATTGTTATCATACTACATACTTTGTTAGCATGATAAATGTTATGATATCTTGTTAACACTAAACTTACATCAATAAAAATTATGTTATCTTGCTAACACTAAATTTGTATTCGCTGATACTTTATTTATCATTTCGAATATATTATTTTTATCCGCTAACAATTTATTTATCACCTCTAACATAATATTTGTATTTGCTAATATGTTATGTTTTTTAATACATTGGTACTTAGCTAGAGCTACGATGTTGGTAAAAAATATGTTAGATTGATAACAGTAATGAATTATCTGTATTGTTATACATGTTATTTTTGAAGTTAGTGCGCTACAAATACATATAACACTCTAGATGTAATGTTAGCATTCTAACAATAAAATTACAAGAGGAAACAAACAAATCTTCTTCATCAATTTTCGACGGTTATCTGTATGGGCGGCGGTCCGAGGACATTTCCCGGCGGTGTATCAAAGTGGCAGTGGAAGAAGATGCAGGCGAAAAAGCAGAAACAGTTCTTCAAGGCGCGTCTATCCCATATATCCCGTGAACGCCAGATTTACGAGATGCGGAAACGAGCCGAGCTCAAGGCGGCGGTGGCCGAGCTTGAGCGGCCATGGGAGCCGGTTCAGAAGCCAGCAAATCTATTCTCCATATGTGCCGACGAGCAAGTCAAGGTCCTCGCGGACCGATTTCAGAAACCCGACGGATTCGATCTATGAACCGATCGGGATGGTCCGCAGCTGTTTGAGACCGTCGATGAAAATCCAAATCGAACCCAAGCAGGTACGTATTGAAACGATTGAGGAAGAGAGACAACAACAAATTGTTCATCACTTCAAATTGTAGTGAGGAAGAGAAATAAATAGGTGAGAGAGAGAAAAAGATAGGTGATAAAGAGAGTTAGAGAGATGGGTATATAGGGGATAAGATAATATAGGGGTAATAGTGTATTAATGAAAAATGTACAGTACGCTTTCCCACTTTTCTAATTATGAATAGTATTGAGGTTATCTTATACATTTACTTTTATATCAAATAGATGTAGGTGAATACTTAGCGTTAATTTATAAAAATAAGATTTTTTTTCAAAAGCTTAGGAGCTCAACAATATTAAAATGGTTCACAAATCCAAAATAGAATACACAATTTACATACATTATATCAAATAGATGTAGGTGAGTACTTAGCGTTAGTTTGGTTACATGTCAACGAGATAGATAAATAAAGTAACAATTTCATATACTTGGCAAATTCTTCCAAATGAACTAATAAAGTAGACTACTACTCTGGTGTTGACATGATAGATATATTTTATGAGATTTGTAGACGAGATGATTTCATTATACTTTGAGATGTTATATTTATACAGGATTTACAAGAGAGAGTAAGAGAAGTAGATATCATACAGTTAGTGGAAATTATACGATGTCGTGATATAAGCAATCATATCGTGTTATAAGTGATCATTACTCAACCAACATTAATGTGTATCTCTAATATGTCCCCTCAAGATGGAGGTGCTTGCCAAAATCCAATCTTGCCTCGTAGTGCAGTGAATCGTGATCTCATTAGTGGCTTTGTAAGACCATCTGCGAGTTGATCATGTGTTGAGACGTGTGTGACTCTGAGTTTCCCATCTTGGACTTGTTCATGAATAAAGTGATAGTCAAGAGCAATGTGTTTCATTCTCAAATGGAACACCGGATTTGCACATAAGTATGTTGCTCCGATGTTGTCATAATATATAACATGACGCATTGTAGACTGAATTCCTAGTTCAGAGAGTAAAGAGCATACCCATCTGATTTCGGAAGCGGTGTTAGCGACTGCTCTGTCTCAGTTAATGATCAGGCTACTCCTTTTTGCTTCTTGGAGGACCATGATATTGGCTGTTCACCAAGATAGACTAAATATCCATTTGTTGACACAAAATCATATGTGTCGCCTGCCCAATCTGCATTGGTGAAAGCATGAATGCTGAGATTTTTTTATCGGCTTATGAACAGACCATGAGTTGCTGTGCCCGCCAAGTATTGTAACACTCTTTTACCTGCTTGTCAGTGGCCACATGTTGGTAATTGCATGAAATGGGATGGCTTATTGATAGCCAAAGCAATATTGGGTCTTGTGAAGGCCAAATATTGCAGGCTTCTAATTAATTGACAAAATTCAGTGGGGTTTGAATATTGTTCACCTGATTGTGTGAGTCGAGGAGATGAAGCCATTGGAGAAGCTACTGGTTTTTCATCATGCATATTCATCTTTGCAACAGGTTGTGAATGTATTCTGTTGCTTAAGATGGAGTCTGTTCGGTGTTCAAACTGCTTCTATTCCCAAGACGTATGATTGGTTTCTCATATCTTTGACGGAGAAACGATTTGCTAGATTGATGATGGCTTGTTCAACTGATGTCTTGTTGTTTCCGGTGACAATTATGTCATCTACGTAGACAAGTAGTTGATGAAAAACGAACAGCAAAGTAACTGCAGAGGAATTCTGTAAGCCATTTGAAATGAGATACCGTTTGAGCTTCATGTACCATGCTCGCGGAGCCTGCTTAAGGCCGTATAGCGCATTCCTCAATTTGCATACACAATCTGGTTTGTCAGCATCAACAAATTTAGGAGGTTGTCAGACATAAGCTTCTTCATTCAATGTGCCCTGAAGAAAAACATTGTTTACGTCAAGTTGTCGAATACTTACAGCAACTTTGAGAATGAGGCGAATGGTTGTCGATTTAATAACTGAGTTGTATGTCTCTTCGAAATCGACTCCTTGATGTTGGTTAAATCCTCGAGCAACAAATCTCACTTTGTATTTGTCGAGTGATCCGTCTGGTAATAACTTGACCCAAAAAACCCACATTGTGTCGATGACGTTTTGCAGTGGTGAGAAGGGGGGGGGGAGATCAAATCTCAGGTGTAATTGACGATTTCTGCATCATACTCTTTTGACATCGCTTGCCACCAGTGTTTCTCTTTTAATGCTTGATTTAGGGTTCGTGGCACAATATCGGTGAATGATACAGTCGCTACAAAGGTGAATTTTTGGCTTGGTTTGGTTATTTTATTTTTGGCTTGGGTTGTCATTAGATGTGAATTTGTAGGTTGATTATTTGTGGTTTGAAAGTTTTTGGTTTGGTTGGTGGGTGGATTGATGATTTCTGGTGGATTTGAGGTTATTTGGGAATGGGTTGGGATTGTTGGGCCAATGGAATTTTGTGGAAGTGGAGAATTTGTTGGACCAGTTAGGTTTGGAGAATTTGGTGAAGTTGTTGGATTTGGTTGGGCCAGAGGATTAGGTGGAATATTTTGTCTTGTCGACAATCGTTGTGTGGCGGAAGATTCTTCACCAACCGGAGCATTTGTGGAAGATGATGTTGGCGTCGAACAAGGCTGAGGTTCCAGCGAGATTGATATTGGCGGCAACGTTGGAGGTTGTAGCCGAGGTTGGGGCACCGGTTCTTGTGCTTGATGAGGAATCTGAGATAGGAGCCTGGGTTGTTGATGCTGGCTGTGCCGAAGAATTTGCATCTATGAGTGGCACTAGGTTCATCGAAATTGAGGTTATGGTTGGGTTTGAGGATTGAAGTGTTTCAAGTGACTGGGTCGTACTTGTGGGGATTAGAATTTGGAAAGGGAATTTTGTTTCATCAAATCGAACATGGCTAGAAGTATATATCCGATTTTGGGTTGGATCGAGACACAAAAATGCACTCTGGGTAAGAAAATATCCTAGGAAGATGCATGGTTTCGTTTGATGTTCAAGTTTATGATGTATAGGGACAAAGCCAAGGAAAGCAAATATATCTGAAAATTTAGAGTTTGTGGTAACTGGGATCAATTTGAAAATGAGTTTTGAGTGGAGATTAAAGAGAAAGGGTAGGAGTTGGCTTTCTATTTATGAGATAAACTGCAGTGGCAAAAGCATATGTCCAATATGTGTTTGGAATTGAGGCATGAGAGAGTAAAGTCAAATCAGTTTTGACAATATGATGATGTCGCCTTTTGGCTAAACCGTTATGTTCAAGAGTATGTGGAGGAGAAGTTAAGTGAGAGATGCCTTTTGAAGACAGAAAATCTCGAAGAGCAATGAATTCTCCCCCATTATCAGAAAATAAGGTCCAATTTGTTTTTGAAAACGGTTTTCGACGAGATTGGTGAAACGTACCTGGAATTTTAATTTGAGGGGATAGAACCATATATATTGTGAAAAAATGATCAACAATTACTAGATAATACTTGTAACTGTCGACTGAAATACTAGAAGAAATCCAAAGATCTGTAAATAAATATTGAAGAGGATAAGTAGAGGAAAATTGATGTTTGCGAGAAA